TCGCCGACGAGCCGTTTGACCAGTTCTACGTGTCCCAGTGCCCGGTGACCGAGTTCTACGACGACTTCGACAAGGTGATGATGACCTACGACGAGAACTTCCTGGCCCGCTGCCCGATCGATGCGCCGCGCGCCCTGAAGACTCGGCGCGAGACCCGCGCCCGTGCCCGGCAGCTGCGTGCCCTGAAGCGCACAGTCCAAAAGACGGTGTCTAGCGCCGGCCAGGTGGTCGGCGCGGTCCAGGGTGCCATCAGCCAGGCCGCCGCCCCGATCATCCAGAGCGGTGCGGAGATCCTCCACACCTTCCGCGAGGGTGCTGAGGAGGCTGGACGCTGGGCTGCCGACGCTGCTGCCATTCCCCAGGCACGCACGGCGGCCACTCGGCCGGCCAGCTCGTCGGCCGCCGCGGCGGCGAAGACCTCCTCTCCGGCGCACAACACTGATGCGGTACGTAAAGATGATATTCCCACGGCCCTCCATGGCGCCTGCGTGTCACCCCCCCTCCTCTCGGGCGCCGCAACGGGTGCCACAGCCGAAAGTCGGTTGGGGGGAGGCGGCGACACACTGTCGCTGCCGCTCAATCCGATGACAATCGCGAGGGCCGACCAACGGGGGCATCGGACCAGCCGGAAGAGCCGCCCGAGTTACTTGGCCCAATTGGGTCGGCTAGAGCGCGCCCCTGCCGCGGCCTGGTCTCTTGGGCCTGGGAGTGGCTTCCATCATCATCCCAGGCTCCAGGGCTGTGGCGGCGGGAGCGGTGTCACGGCTGGCGCCCTGGCCAATACCACCATCCCCGGTGATGTGAGCGCCTACTCGCTTATGTCCTACCCCAGGTCCCGTTTGCGGAATGTCCACCGGCGCCCGAGGCTGGCTCAGAGAATGCGCGCCATGGTGTCCATGCAACAGCCGCCTCCCTGCTGGCGGGCCGTTGGCGAGTGGCAGCAGCACCCTGCTCCCGCTCCGGCCTTTGTGCCAACACCCCCTTCGGCCGCTTCCCCGCCGCCAGCTGTAGAGATGCAGGCATGGGCCCATTTGCCGGAATGGCCGCGGCCACAGCAGCAACAGGTACGCATAGTTTTTTCCGCCTCTCCGGGGGGGGGGGGTGGGGAAGTCTCCGGGACTTCCTCGTGCTCTCTCTCTCTCTCCCAGCAGCCCGCGCCCCCATGCATTCCCTCCTCGGTGTTATGTCTTTGTCCCATTCGTCTTTTCCGCGCCGGGTTTCCACAGAGACCACCCTTTTGTGCCGATGCTCACATCCCCTCTCCTTGGGCCTGATCCCGAATTGCTCCTCCTCGCTATTTACTTCCCAAGGCCCTCTCACCCTGCTGTTTGATACCGCGCGGATGCCCCCCATGGCCCGCGTCGCCGCACGCGCACACATCCCCGCATCCGGCTCCTCCGGGCCCCGACAACCCTGCTGCTCTTCTTTTTTCTTTTAATCTCGATTCCTCCTCAACTCGCTCTCTCACCTGGGCATTCGACCCTTCCGGCGGCCGTGTGTGCCCCTCGAACCACCCCATACTCACACATTCCCCCCTCTCGTCCCATTTGGGCACATCCCCCTGCCCTTTTTTCACCCGCCACCCACCCCGTGCACTCTCTTGATATGGACCCCTCCAAACGGCGGCTACCTGTGCGGCTTCGAATGCCACCCATCCTGCGGCACGTGCACTTTTACCACCACCGCAGAAGTCCGCCAAGCGCCCTGGCAAGGGTGGCGGTGCTTACGAGTTCGAGCAGGGCACCCGGAACATTGGTAAGTGGGCCTCCACGGTGCAGTACCAGCAGCCGCCGAGCCTGACGGTGGCTGTGGCCACCAGTGCCGACTCGGAGTTCGCTCAGCAGGATTCCCACCAGCAGTCGAGCTCTCGCCGTGCCGCCACCACCAAGGGCGCCACCACGACGGCGGCATCTCGCCGCGTCGGTGGCCACATCGACCAGCCGGGCCAGGGGGATATGACGTACGCCCAGATCACTCGCTATGGCGCCGAGCTCTTCCAACACCCGCCCCTGAATCATTCGCCGGCGAACCAGCTGAGCGAGGAGCGCCACCTGCTGGATAGCCCCCAAAGTGCCGGCGACCCGCACCGCCAGATGCCCTGGTGGCAGCGCGACTCGTCGCCACAGGAGGGATCCCCCTACTCGGGTGGTGACGCCCGGCGTCGAGTTGCCAGCCCCCGCCAAAACACGGCCAACAACACCAACGGCACCGTCTTTGACATGGACAGCAGCGCCTCCAGCTTTGGAGTGATGCCGCGCACGCCGCTGGACATGGCCAACAACCTGTATGGCGCCATTGACAGTGTCGCCAATGGGTATGTTGGTAGCCGCCATCGCCACCACCAGTCCTCCTCCTCCTCCTCCTCCTCGCCTTCACAGCAATCGGGACCTTCCGGTTCTTCTTCGGGTCGCGGCGGCAGCGGCGGCGGCGGGGCCGGGGCCGGGGCCTTTTCCCATCCCCCGAACGGTAGCAATGGCCCAGCCATCGGTGGTCGTGCCCAGTCCGGCTTCCACCAGCGCCAGCGCCCGGACCAGCAGTGGTGATCCTTTTCACCACCACGAGAGTCAGCGCGCGCGCGCAATGCCCCCCACCCCCCCTGTGCGCGCGCTTCGGTAGCAGATCAAAGGGGGGCGAATTGGGGAAGACGTGGTGAGGCGCCGGGGGTGTCCCACACATGCGCGCGCATGCGCACATGGTGACACGCCTAAGCCCCTCCCTATCCCCCCCCCCCTGGCCCTCCTTCTGCCCGATGATGTAATGTGTGACTCTATGATGAAAGGGACCGCTCTCCCATGGGGGCCCCCTTTGCGCGGTGGGCCCGCGTGTTGTTGATGCGCGCATTCGCCGCTGTGGGCCCTTTTGCTTGCCCGCCTTTGCTTGCGCATCCCCCCCCCCTCATCTCGGGGGGCGGGGCTGCCCCCACACACCCCTACTGAAGCATCTGATCATGCCCCTTTACCCTGCTCCTTGCACTTGAGTGGATGAATGGACCTGCTGCCATAGTAGCACGCGCGTCCATTTGTGTCTCTCCTTGTGAGGCGAAGGGCCAAGGGGATAAAGAATGCCTCAAGAGAAGGGGGGGGGCTCCCCCTGCCCGCTCGCTCTGTCGGACAAAAAAGAACACGCATGTCGTGTCTCGATGTGGTGTTTCGGTGGGACCGGGGGGGGGGGGCGGCCAAGGAGAGTGCATCACCACTTTGGTGGTCGCACGGTGCATCGCGTGTCCCCCTCATACCGATCTCTCGGGGATCTCCCAGGAGATCGGACGGCAGACACACTGCCTTTTGATACGGGCTCGCACATGACACTTCCCCTCCGCCCCCCTCCTCTCTCTCTCTCTCTCTCTCTCTCTCTCTCGGAACTTGCATCGCTTTTTCTTTGAGCTTATGCAGAAGGCGTCATTGGCGCACACCACCACCTCGCGCGTGAATAAGCAAGGGGCATGTCTACCAACCACAGGCTCAATGCTCGCTTCTTTTTTCCCCCGCGCAACTTGCCTTTGATTTTTCCTCGCAGCTGGCAATGAATTCCCTTCTTCCATCAAAATGCTCTTTCCAAGTAATTTGTCAGTGTCACATCTCTATCTCTGTTGGGCGGGCGTGTGGTTTTAGCTCCCCCTCCGCATCTGACTTTTAAGAGGAAAGGCCCCTTCGGAAAGGCCATCCTGGCGCGCATCCCTGGAGCTTGAGACAGCGCGAATGTCGAGAGCGAGGGAAGGTCGGAGACTCCTTTTGGGGGTCGGCGGGTCACCTTGAGTCTTGAGAGGGGGGGGGGGCGGAGGCAGGGTGATACATGTAATGATAACACCAGAGCCCGGAACGGACTGTGTGTGTGTGTGGTGGAGGGGGGAGGGGTCGCGCGACTACTACGACTATTAATGATTGCTGGGAAAGATAATCACATTCCGTGACAATACTAATAGTCCATGCGCTTGTGCGTGGTTGGAGGGGATTCCAAGGTGCCATGGAGAGAAGAAGGGATAGGAAGAGGATGTCCTTCCCACGCCAAGTGACGAAAGTGTCTTTGGCATCGCCGGAAACCTTCCTCTCCTTGGCTGCTGCATCCTCCTTGTGTGCCCCATCATACATACCACGGGTCAAAGGGACGCCTCGTTCCCACGACATGTGGTACCTCCGGGTTGGTGTGAGCTCTGGAGAAAAAAAGGCACCCCACTTCCAGGGAAAGAAAAGTGCGAAAGAGATAGAGACCGTTTGTGAAATAGGCCGTGAGAGGATGGTGGGATCATCCCCGACTCCTGCACTCGAGGAACCAATGATCGCTAGAGAGAGGGGAGAGAGAGAGAGAGAGAGAGAAGGAGTCGCACTGCAGCTGGATGCGTGGACCCTAAGGAGGACACGAGGAAGTTGTCCGAACATCATATGAAACATCTTCCTTATCAAAAGTCGTGGCAGGAAAGATGCAGGACACAGTGGTGGGGCCCGGAGTCCTTGAGTGCGGGCACCGCCACATCCTTTCCTTTCGGCGCATCGGGCTCATGCCGGGTGTGCCCGCGCTGGAATCCAAACTGCTTGAGGTTGTGGGCTCTATAAATATCTGCTCCCACCGGGTCTTTTCCCTTGTGGCGAGGAGTAGAACACCGTGGGATGAAGTACCCACGGAATGACCCTCCATCCCAGCGGGCTGTAAACTCACTCTGGGACTTAACTGCGCTCCGGCCGGCCGCTTGCCGGCCAGCGCTGATAGCCACCTGGTACTAACAATGTTGTCTCCCGCCGTGCCGCCTCTCCCGCGCCCCTGGCGACCCTTTCCCGCCCTGCCGCCTGCCCTGCGCGCCGCACCACCAACCAAGGGTGGAGTATGTGCAAGAACGGGCGGCCAGCCTGCTGAGCTTCCTTTCTTCCTTCAGCTTCTTCATGGTCAGCCTGTACAGTCACCTTGTGGCCAGCATCCCGGGGGTGTCAATCCCGGCCATGGCCAGCGGCCGGTCTGAGCGTCTGGCTTACAGCCGGCAGCGAGCCATCTCCGGGTACCAGGCTGTCCGCCGGTCATCGTGGGCCCTGCTTGGCGTATCGCTCATCCTGTCCATGGTCATCGTGGTGGCCTTCCTCCGCCTAAGCTTCCTCACACTCAAGGTGGCCATCTGTTAAGGCGGCGGGCTTCGCGGTGCGTCCATGGAAGCGCTGAGGGCGGGGGGGAGGGGAGTAAAAAAAGGGGAGGGAAAACCTGATTGTGGTGGCACACAAGTTGGCCTACAGTGGATGACATGCGAGGAGAGAAGCAGAGCATGCTGAGAACCAATGATGACCGCCTAGCGGGTTCAGGGGTCTCTCACTCCTTCTTACTCTCTCTCTCTCTCTCTCTCTTGAGATTCTCCCTTACCTGCCCCCC